GTCCAGACTTAAGAAAAACACACAGCATTCTGTCTGCCCCCCTTCTCATTCATCTTCATCTGAACCAGCCTCTATATGCTTCTTTAATGAACAATGGGAAACTATTCCTGACAGTAAGTACAGTCGTGGTCAAAAGTTGAGAATGACACAAGTATTGGTCTTCACAAAGTTCGCTGCTTCAGTGTTATGAGATATTTTTGTCAGATGGTACTATGGTATACTGAAGTATAATTACAAGCATTCCATAAGTGTCAAAGGCTTTTATTGACAATTACATTAAGTTTATGCAAAGACTCAATATTTGCGGTGTTGACCCAGGTAACCATGGTTAACAGAGGAAGAACAATGATTTCAAGCACCACCGTCCTTTTAAAGCTTCCAGTCTGTTATTCTAATTCAATCAGCATGACAGAGTGATCTCCAGCCTTGTCCTTGTCAACACTCTCACCTGTGTTAATGAGAGAATCACTGACATGATGGCAGTTATTTAGTATTTGTGTCATTCTCAAAACCTTTGACCACGACTGTAGTGTGTTTCTGATCAGATAGTCTTGTTAAAGAACTGTGCTTTTTCGGGTGGGCTGGGGAATCATCAACTGTTCATCAAACGTTTGACACGCTAACACACTGTTTACAGATATGCATTGTTGCTTTATCTATACTTTATAGTATACATCGACAAGGAAATAAAATAATATGACAAAACGTTTTGTTTTTTCAGTTTCAGTTTGAGAATAAAGTCAATTATTTGTACTGTACGTGACCAAACCAAATTGAGAATTTATGTTAAATTTTTGTGTCTTTCACTCCAGTTAAAAAGCACAGCATTTGCCTGCAGTCACAAACGGTGCACAGTCACTTAATTCAATCAACCAGTGTCCCATTATTTTGATATACAAACAATATTATGAGTATAAAGGACTGAAAGCTGCAAAATAGAACAGTCAATCAATCATACATATTATTGTGTATATGATATAGATTGACCATACTCAAAATAAAAGTGGTTTAGGTCATAGGTTATAGGTCGTAGGTTAAAGGTCGTAGGTTATGCCCATCTTAAACCAGAAATGAGCTCTAGGTATTTCAAAGGCCTCCAGGTTAATAAAATACTGATTCAGTGTAACATCATAAAAGCACTTTTGTTGACCACATGTTTTTACATACTTTGCAGTTTCGTTTAAAAAATAAAGTCTAAAAAAATCTCTCAGATTAACAGAAATACTTGCCGTTTTGTGCATAAAGGCACTTTGGAGACTAAAGTAAATTAGGAGAGTTTAACATGGGATTAGGATTAACATGGGATTAGAATATAGAATAATAACAGTTAAATCAGACCAAAGGATCAAATCTGTAGTGACATCAGTTGCAAAGCTTTTACTCAGCCTTTGCAAATGTATACGGCCGTGCAAACTCAGTGTGGAGTTGAGTGTTCATCTTTGGAATGAGAGAAATACCCCAAAATAATCATTTCAGGCTAGTATTTTTTTTAAACACAATTCAGGAAGGTGTTTATCAAAACTCAATGTGGTAAGATACTTTCTGTCTATTTTGTTAAATATAGATATTGAAGCTAGCTGAGAGACTGCTGAAGAAACTAAGTAAAATCTAGATTGGACTGCATTGCCTTTTCAGTGTCAGGTACAGTAATAGTCTCACAAAACAATTGTAAACAGATTCGAAAGAAGAAAGAAAAATACAATTCATGCAAACAATGTAACACAGTTATACATTGAACTCATGATACCCATTCATGAGTAAGTTGTCGTTGACATTTTCTGTACTACCGGCTGTTTAAAACTAGTGGCACTATCAATCCTCACCCGAAAAGACCCAAGGCATCTTCTCATCATAAGCAATGCTAAGATTTAAAGAGGTTTGTTGTGTAATGGTCGTAGTTGGCAAACCTTAGCATTGTTCATCCTTCTAAAATAACTTCTAAAATAGATTACCATCTTACCTTAACGCATGTTTTATTTTTGGCATTTCATTCGTCATAAATGAACTGTAGAAAATATACCTTTCACATAAATACTGGTTTTACCCATGCCATCTGTCTTCCTCAGAAGAATCCCACTGGGCAAAGACGTCAATTCAATGTCTATTCCACTTTTGTTCAACATAATTTCATTGAAATTACATGGAAACAACATTGATTCAACCAGTGTGTGCGCAGTGGGAAGAATTCCTCAATCTCTAGTAAGAGTGGTACATATAGCAAGGAGGAAGTGACATCATCATCTTCCTGTCACTCCACCAATCACAGCTTACACAGGTAAAGGTGGCCTGTGCCATTGGCTGACACATAGCTGTTGACGTCATAGTACGGTGATACAAAGCACTATGATGCTCTACTTCTGGTCGTGGTTGACTTTTATCCTCATATTTTAAGAGTCATTGTTTCTACTGTTGGTCCAGTAATTACTTATTTTGCCTTGATCCTGGCTTGAGTCTCCAGGCCTGAATAGTATCCCATGATGTAGTGCGTTAGCCTCCATTTTGTGTCCTTTCACTGTTCATTATTTTACAGTAAACTCACACGATCATTCTCCCTGTACCATAGACTTAGATAGACAACACTAGTGGCCAAAAGCCTTTTTTAGCATGGGCAGTGCCATTAAGGACTTTCACAATTTTTAGTAGTCAACTGGTTGGGACTTCCTATGGGTTAAGGAAGGATCACATAATTCCATCCAGGTCATCAGGAGGGATCAGCCAATTAATTATTATTGTGAGCAAACATTCCATAACTGCAGGTGGCAGTAAATCGCCAACCTTTATACCTGTTCAAATAATACTCCAGATCGCAGTATGCATCCTTTCAGTTTGTTTGCCAACTCATAGAAGTAGTAAAATAATAAAAGGATTACTTCAAAATGGAGATGTCCTTAATGGAGCTGCCCACGCTCTCACAGATGCCATAATGGGACAGATACAAAGATATGATGTCTATCTAAATATATGCCCTCTATAAACAGGCTCACACCTGCAACCTGATTGGTCAGCTGATAAATATTTACATTAGGTCAGTCTGTCTCGATTGGCCTGTTGGTTGCTTCTCCTGTACAGGACGTGTAAAGCGTAATTGAGAGTCCACAGACTCAGTGAGGCGATAGTCCGACCACAGACTTAGTGACGTGATAGTCCGACCACAGACTTAGTGACGTGATAGTCCGGCATCCCATTGTGACATACTGTAGCTACGTGGCTCTGAGACGCACAGCCCGAACGGGCACCTTGCCAAAATTCCCAACCAACGTGCTCCGCGTACGTGTCCTCTATTCATTTGAATGTGTTAACAGTTGGAGACATTGCTTGAGCCGCGCTGAGAATTCGAAAAGTATGAAAGCCAACGGTCCAATATTCTAGAACACTGCTGTGCGTACACATGCACATTTTGGACTCTGATAGAGGCTTCATGGTTTTGTTACTGCTCCATAAGTGAGTTGCCATAACAACAACAATACCCATAACAACAAAACACAGTCTTAACTTGAGTCTGCAACAAGCTGAAAGACAGACTGAGGAAAGAGAGGAGGAGTCGTTAAATACTTATTGTCATTGTTCGGACACGATGATGATTCCAATGACTGGTCGTATTAGACGGATGCTCCAGCAGCACTGAAGTGGTCCACCTCTTCTGCTCTACATGATAAACCAAACGGGGGGAATGTTTTTGACATAACACCATGATGATATGTACAGTCCATGAACCATGCTTTTCCTTGACATAGCTTTCTGCCTTCCCTGTAAAGATCCTTGTCTGATGGTTTCTGAATGGTGATTGACATTCACTGCTAGGCCACGGCCCCCGACGGTGGGTTGCTCCATGATGGAGACACTGTAGTTGTAACAGTTTAAAGGTGGATTCACCTCCAACTGCTCGTGAACAGGTTCTGCTGGTGAGGTGTTAGGTTTTCTGGTCCTATGTCTGGTAGAGTTGGGTTTTAATGTTGGGGTAGGTTAAGTCAGGGTTGGCTGGGTTAGTTCAGATAGTGATGGGCTGGTTTGGATAGAAATAGGAGTCAGGTTAGTTTGGGTATGGATGAGTTGGATTGGTAAGGACTAGGTGTTGGGTTAGTTTGGATAGTGGTGGGTTGGTTTGGTTAGGAATAGGACTAGGTGTTGGGTTCAGTTGGAAATGGATGGGTTGGATTGGTTACAACTAGGAGTTGAGTGGCCTGGTTGGTCTCTACGGTGTCGGCATGGGTTTGAATCAGGCTCACTCAACCTCTATCTTTTCCCACTGTCATCCTCTACCTGTACAATAAAGTCAGAAAATACCTTCATATACACACCAAAATAGGATAATTGGGTAGTTACGGGGTTGGTTTAAAAAGGACTAGGGTTAGGGGTTAGGTTAGTTTGGATTCTAATGGGTTGCTTGATTTGGATAGGGCTAGGGGTTGGTTTAGTTTGGATTGGGTTGGGTTAGTTTGGATAGGGCTAGAATTTGGATTAGTTTGGATTGTATTGGGTTGGTTGGTTTGGATAGGGCTAGGGGTTGGGTTGGTCTGGATAGGGCTAGGGGTTGGGTTGGTTTGGATAGGGCTAGGGGTTGGTTTGGTTTGGATAGGGCTAGGGGTTGGGTTAATTTTGATTGTATTGGGTTGGTTTGGATAGGACTAGGGGTTGGGTTAGTTTGGATTGTATTGGGTTGGTTGGTTTGGATAGGGTTTGGGGTTGGTTTGGATTGTATTGAGTTGGTTGGTTTGGATAGGGCTAGTGGTTGGGTTAGTTTGGATTGTATTGGTTTGGTTGGTTTGGATAGGGCTAGGGGTTGGATTAGTTTGAATAGGGCTAGGGGTTGGGTTAGTTTGGATAGGGCTAGGGTTAGTTTGTATAGGGCTAGGGGTTGGGTTATTTTTGATAGGGCTAGGGGTTGGGTTAGTTTGGATTGTATTGGGTTGGTTAGTTTGGATAGGGCTAGGGGTTGGGTTTGTTTGGGTGTGATTGATTCGGCATGGCTTTATTAGGGTTGAGTTGTTGATCCAGTTAGGTTAGATGAAGGGCTCAGTTGGGCTTTTGGGTGCAGTGCAGTTAGGAGGGTCCGGGATGCGTTCTCCAGAGTCCAGGATCAGGGTTGTGTCAGGGTATGGATTGGTTGTCTCGGGGTATGGGTTGGTGGTGTCTGGGTATGGGTTGGGGAATGGGTATGGGTTGGTGAGGCTGGTCACTGGTAGTGGTCTGTGGTTGGGTGTGGGTATAGGGGTGAGGTTGGGATCAGGGGTGAGGTTGGATGTAGGGGTGAGGTTGGGTGTAGGGTTGAGGTTGGTCATAGTATCAGGTCCAGTGTGGAAGTGGCTGATGGGTCTTGGTGTAGGGGTGATAGAAGTAGTAGTAGTAGTGTTGGTCTCTCCCTGGCTTTGGCCCTGGGCTTCACCGTTGAAGTTCATGTGGCTTAGGTGGCTGGCGACTCGGCCTGTAGGCTGGACATGCGGATCTGAGAGCTGCTCTTGCTGAGGATGGAGAGCTGTGTTCCCCCGTTCACCCCACTGCTGGCCAACGAAGGGTGCCGGTGCTTCAGGTCCACAGCAAAGTACCTGTTCACCGTCCAGCTGCGCCATTTCCTCTTGATCTCCGACTGCACCTTCAGGGAGATACTTCACAAGGTCATTATTAATGGACCTCGCTGGAAAGACTCAGCATGCCTCTCTCCTCTCTCTCCTCTCTCGCTCTCCATCTCTCCCTCTCCTCTCCCTCTCCCTCTACCCTACTTTCTCTCTCTCTCGTCTCTCTGTCTCTCCCTATTCCGAGCTCTATCGTTCTCCCATCTCTCTCTCCGCTCTCTCCTCTCTCTATCCTCTCTCTCTCTCTCCTCTCTCTCTCTCTCTCTCTCTCTCTCTACTCTCTCTCTCCTCTTCTTCTCTCCTCTCTACTCTCGTATCTTTATATATTATATATATCTATATATATAGAGAAGAAGATCTGTATATATCAAATATATTTTCATGCCTAAAGCAACAAGTGGTTGGTTTAAAAGAGAGCTTACCTCTCCATTCAGAAAGCAGTAGAGAACAGCCACAACGAAGCCCTACATGGACACAAAGAACACAAGCAGAGAAAACTGTCTTTCAGGTATACACAGGAATGTACATTGTACTTATGCAAAAGTCACACATCAGAAAGCACACATACACACGCACACACTAACTCTAACTCTAAATCTAACCCTTAACCCTAATTCTAACCCTAATTCTAACCTTAACTCTAAACCTAACCCCTAACCCTAAACCTAACCCCTAAGCCTAAAATATCCTAATTCCTTTTTAGGACCGGCCAAATGTCCTCACTTGTCCGAATTCCTCTTGGCTTACTATCCTCACAAGAATAGTAAAACAAAAACACACAGACACACACACACACCACACACACACACACACACACACACACACCTGGAAGGAGCCAAGGCCTAGCTCAAACACCAGCCTCTCCCTCTTGCTGACGTCCTCGGGTGAGAAGGCGAACACAGTGTAGTGGATCCCAAACAGTGGGATCAGGAGCAGGGTGGAGCGAGCCAGACGCCTGCCAATCAAACAACACAACACATATTACAGTGGACCAACATACTCATGACATCATCAACTGTGGGTCAATAGATTCAGACATCGTCAAAAGTGGACCAATATACTCATGACATCATCAACAGTGGACCAACATACTTATGACTACGAATTAACATGGGTAAACGGGATCCCGGGACTGTCCCGGGAACAATCTTCACATTTCCCCCAAAGATGTAATGACAAGACCCGGGAAATTACAACATTTGCCCCCAATGTCGCACTAATGCAGGCCCTACAGTTAACCCCCAACAACAACTGCTCCCCGGGTGCCGATGATGTGAACATCGATTAAGGCAGATGGGTTGGGTTCAGAGGGGTTGGGTTAAATGAGGAAGACACATTTCGGTTGAAGGCATTCAGTTGTACAACTGACTAGATATCCCCCTTTCCCTTTCCCATTCATGTGCAGCATCAGATTAGCAAAAAATGAAATAGCACACTATCCAAACAGGTTATATCATGGAAGCCTTTAGCCTAGATGATGTACTTCACACAAAGTCGTCATAAATTCAAAGCGCACGCATGATTGACACTGCTGGGCTGCACACGCGTCCTGAATCCAGTTAATAAACCCTACAGGAAACCCCTACAGTAGACCTACAGCCTATAAAATAACGTATGCCTCTTTGAGCTGTCATTGTGAATCTTCAGACAGTCACACATCTGATAGGCCTATGCACAATCCACTACATAGGCATCTCTGTCACAGACATGAAGTCTGTTAACAATTCAGAGGCATGAGGGAAAATTCTACCTTCTCCTGTCCTAGAGCCTAGGCTATTTCCCTATCTAGTCCCAATCCCACTGAAACCCAAAATCCTGACTCCTGTCTCGCATGAAAATGCCTAACTTTATTCTGTAATCTATAGGTTGCATTATCAAAGCATGTCTCTCGCCTATGCATGTCAAAATACCGCTATAACATTTCCCCCGCTTCTCTGCGCTGTCTCGTTCTTGCTGCCCATATGAGAGCTTCGGTAGAGAATGTGTGATCAACAAACTGTATGAGAGTAGATATGGACATATTTTTTCAACAGAGTTGGTCCCCGTTAAGATATCTTGATATTTAAACAATTTTTTTCCCACTATTTCCACTTTTTTCCCCGAATATTTCCACTATTCAATGCTTGTGTTTCTATTTCCAACAGTGCAGTAATATCTAGCAATAATAATAATAATAATAATTTAAAAAATACACAAATAATTCAGAAAAATAAGAAAATAAGGTGCCAGGGTAGAGTACCGGGTGGTAGCCAGCTAGTAACAGTGACTAAGGTTCAGGGCAGAGTACTGGGCGGAGGCCGGCTAGTGGTGACTGTTTAGCAGTCTGATTGGCCTGGAGATAGAAGCTCTTTCTCAGTCTCTCTGTCCCAGCTTTGAAACACTTGTACTGTTTCCGCCTTCTAGATGGTAGCGGAATGAACAGGCCATGGCTCAGGTGGCTGAGGTCCTTGATGATCTTTTTGGCCTTCCTGTGACACCGGGTGCTGTAGATGTCGTGGAGGGCAGGCAATGTGCCCCCGGTGATGCGTTGGGCTGACCACACCACTCTCTGGAGAGCCCTGCAGTTGCCAACGGTGCAATTCATGAGGGTCTTTGGGGCAAAGCCGAATTTCTTCAGCCTCCTAGGTTGAAGGGAAGCTGTTGCGCCTTCTTCACCATGCTGTCTGCGTGAAGGGAACATTTCAGGTTGTCCGTGATGTGCACACCGAGGAACTTTAAGCCCTCACATCCTCCTTGTAGGCTGTCTCATCGTTGATGGTAATCAGGCCTACCACTGCTGTGTCATCAGCAAACTTCATGATTGAGTTTGAGATGTGCGTGGCCACGCAGTCATGGGTGAATAGAGTACAGGAGGGGGCTGAGCACGCACCCCTGTGGGGCCCCTGTGTTGAATATTAGCCTGGCGGAGATGTTGTTGCCTACCTTCACCACTTGGGGTCGGCCCGTCAGGAAGTCCAGGACCCAGTTGCACAGGGAGGGGTTCAGACCCAGGGCCCTGAGCTTAGTGATGAGCTTGGAGGGCACTATGGTGTTGAAGGCTGAGCTGTAGTCAATGAAAAGCATTCTTACATAGGTATGTCTCTTGTCCAGGTGGGATAAGGAAGTGTGCAGTGCAATGGCAATTGCGTCGTCCGTGGATCTGTAGTGGGTCTAGGGTGTCAGGTAAGGTGGAGGTGATATGGTCCTTAACTAGGCTCTCAAAGCACTTCATGATGACAGAAGTGAGTGCTACATGGTGATAGTCATTTAGTTCAGTTACCTTCACATTCTTGGGTACAGGAACAATGGTGGACATCTTGAAGCAAGTGGAGACAAAAGGCTAGGATATGGAGAGTGAATATATCCGTAAACACTCCAGCCAACTGGTCTGCACATGCTCTGAGGACACTGCTTGGGATGCCTTCTGGGCATGCTTAAATGACTTACGTCAGCCACGGAGAACGAGAGCGCACAGTCCTCGTGAGAGTCGGGGGCCCGCATCGGTGGCTCGATGTTGTATTCCTTGAAGTAGGCGAAGAAGGTGTTCAACTCATCCGGGAGTGAGGCGTCGTGTCTGTTACGTGGCTGGCTTTCCCTTTATAATCTGTGATTGTCTGGAGTCCCTGCCACATATGTCTCGTGTCTGAGCCGTTGAATTGTGACTCCACTTTGTCCCTGTAGTGTCATTTTGTCTTTGATTGCCTTACGGAGGTCATAGCTGGTCTGTTTGTACACGTCCATGTTCCCAGTCACCTTGCCATGGTTAAATGCAATGGTTTGAACTTTCAGTTTTGCACGAATGCTGCCATCTATCAATGGTTTTTGGTTTGGATAAGTTCTAATCGTCACAGTGGGAACAACATCCTCTATGCACTTCCTGATGAGTGTATACTGTACGTCAATACTATTCTCAGAGCCGACCCGGAATATTTCCCAGTCCACGTGATCAAATCAGTCTTGAAGCATAGATTCCGATTGGTCAAACCAACATTGAACAGTCCTTACCACGGGAGCTTCCTGTTTCAATTTCTGCCTATAGGTGGGGAGGAGCAGAATGGAGGTGTGATCTAATTTGCCGAAGGTAGGGCGGTGTAGGGCCTTGTAGCCATCCCAGAAGGGAGAGTAACAATGATCCAGGGTCAGTGTTGCGTGTGTAGCACAGGAGATGTGTTGATAGGATTTAGGTAGCGTTTTCCTCAGATTTCCTTATTTATTCTGTCATTCGTTGAAGGAGGTTATCTAGCAAGTTTAGCAACTTTGGTCATTTGACTTTTGTTTTACTGCCGTTAAGAAGTTAGAATCATTCGACAAAGCTATACTATGAGTGCACTCTGTGTCGAGATAGCCTACTGCTGAAATGCACTGGCGATCAAAGATAGTTTCTCTTTCATTTGAGTTTAATTTGCTCTGAAATCTTTACATAGTGGCGCAGCCAAGCCGACAAGGTGGCGCAGCAGACAAGGTGGCGCAGCGCCCCTCTTATTTGGGGAGAACCCTGGCATAGTGACCATATCTTGGTTTTAAACGCTTTAAATGCTCATTTCGAATTGTTGCTGTATTTTCCTGGACTCTCTGGATAAATATGAAATATTCCCGGTATTGAAACTTGGTAGATTTTCTGGAAAATATTCATCCCTACTCATGACATCATCGACAGTGGACCAATGGTGCTTTCAAGACAACTGGGAACTCTGGAAAAAAACTCGGTCAAATCATGATGTCAGTGATCTTCAGGTCGGAAAGTCAAGAGCTCTAGAAAGATGCCAAGTTTCTGACTTGGAATTCTGAGTTGGATGAGTTCCCAGTTGTCTTGAACGCACTGAAGTCGAAAGTCTGAGATTTCCGAG